TGGCGTTTGGATGGGACAGTGCTTTAAAAAAAAAAAAACAGTGGTGGATTCCCTGGGGCGAGGAGAAGGGGAGGGAGGTGTTTTCTGGGGGAGAGCATTGGGGAAAGGGGGAGGCTGAGGAAGGAGCGGGATTCAGGCTCCGAGAGCGGGGAGGGGACGAGTGTCAACTTTTGGCGGGGAGAATGAGCGGGAAGCCGCTCAACAGGCCCTGGGAGGGCAGGGAGCGGGATGGCGGCCGATCCCGGGGGCCGGGGGAAGGAGAGCTCTGGGGAGCAAGCTGGGGGATGTGAGGGCTTGGGGCTGGGGGAGAGCTCCCCTGCGGAGAGCTCGGCGTGGGGCTGGCAGGAGGTGGAAAAGGGAAGTTGTGGCTGGCAGGAGGTGGAAGCAGGAATGTGCTGGAGAAAGGAGAGGGGGAGACGGAGAAGGAGCTGTGTTTGAGTCGAGTCCCTGCTCAGCTGCAGCGTGGGGTGGGTGTCAGGGCTGGCTTCCTCCGGCTCCTTTGCTGGGGTAGGAGGTTTGGGAGCTTGAGGGGGGGGAGGTCAAGCTGTAGTTGGAATGGGAGTTGTAACGCATTTGAGGGAAGAGTAGAACTTCTGGCAAGGGAAGATGATGGAGCCAAAATGGGATTTGTATTTCTGGACAAGGAGATGGCGAGGTTTTGCCATGAAATTCCAGATGTGGAGCTGCCCTGGGAGTGCAGGGGGTGGCAGCAGGGTTTGGCTCAGGGTTGTGCTCTGAAGCTGACCCGCTCTGCTGTGGCGTGGTGGAGATGGCAAGGGCTGGAAAGTGGCCTGAGTCTGAGTGGGGAGCATCAGGGACTGGGGGGGGCTGAGTGTGAGGATCCCAGAGATGGGCAGTGCTCTTGGTGTTGATCAGTTTGGAAGCAGCAAGCACGTCCTTATAAAACTGAGAGATCGAAGTGTAAGAAGGCTTTCTGGCTGAATAATTGTAGGCTCTAAATGAAAGATGTTATTAATTTAAAAAAAAAAAAAAAAACAAAAACCAAACGCTTGTGCATTTGAGAGAGGGGAAGGTCTTTGCGATGGATACATTTGGAGTCCCCATTGGGTTTGCGACCCAGACATGGTTTCCTATTAGTGCTTGAGATCCTGGTAGCGAAAACGATGAGAAACAGATGTGGCTGCTCTAACCCCGCTGCCCAACGCCAGCGAAATGCAAAAATAACCAAGTGAAGGGCCTGTGAGCGCCAGCAGGCAGCTCCTGGGCACGGGGCTGCTGGGGGAAGTGTCCCCCGGTGTGGTCCCCTCTGTCACTAGGGATGAAGGGTGGCAGGAGAAGGTGCTGTGGGGACCGAGGTGGCTCTTGGAGAGGGAGGTGGTGCAGCACTTGGGGCAAAGTTTTTTCTCGTCTTTATACAAAAGGGAGAAGAAGAACGCGAATCCCCGCTCTGATTCCGTGAGCGTTTATCTGATCTAGAGGAGTTCAGAAGTTGTGTCTGCTGCCGCAGAACAAAATTCCTGTCTGCATGACAGGATTTCTTACCTCACATTCTCTCTTTTAGCAGGGAGGTAACGTTCCTGCTGCTGCATGTGTGTTTCTCTTAAATTCAGAGGTGCATTCTCTCATGGATCATGAATTTAACTGGAAATGATGTGGCTGAGCTTGAAGGTTGTGGCTTTTCTTTAGTTTGGTCTCTGCTCAAAGGCTTGAGCTTTCACTCAAACTCTCCAGAAATGTTTTCTGCTGTTTTCAGGTTCTGGAGAGTGGAAGACTTAACATGCTTGTTCCCACTTCAAAAGAAAGATGCCTGCTGCCTTTCCCTGGCGCGTGTGGAATAAACTTGGCGTGCTCATAAGTCTTTAAAGAGATGAGTGATCCCAGCCAAGTTTGAGAAAGGCAGGAGGAGGAAATGTTTTAAGTTTAAAACTCATTAAAGCTGAACCGAACTGTTAATCCTTTAAGGTGCAGCTAATGGAACTAGTCTGTACTCAAATTAAAGCCCTGGGTCTCCACATTTTTCTTCTTAGGCTGGTCTTCCTTTCCTTTGTTAAACTTTCTACTGAAAAGTTTAGCACCAGGCATCACGGAAGGGCATTAGGTAGAGCTTTACAATCTTCCACAGAAAGCCCCCCAGCCAGCGGAGCTGAGTGGATTTATCCTGATCTGGTAGCAGTTTCCTACCTGGATGCTCTTCTCTAGGAGATCTCACGATACCAGTGTGCTTCGTGCCGACCTACTGTGATGTCGTGCTGTCAGGGGTAGCTCGTGCTCCTCCATCCGCCCCTCCTGCCCCACTAACGCAGGCGTTCGGACGCACCTTTGTGCTGAGCCTCTTTCTTTGTGGCCATTTTACCAGAGTTTGAATTCTTTTCAAGTGGCTTAGGTGTGTCCTGGATCCTTTTCCTCTTAGCTTCAGACCAAGAAGTTATTCTTTTGGTCTCTCTCTGTTCTGCTTTCCTCTTCACAAAGGATTTCAGCTTGGCCTTGAGTGTTAGGTAAGAAGCAGCAAATGAAAATGGAAAATTTGGCCGAAGTCCATCCTGAATTTGTCTTGAAATCATATTTTTTGGTATAAGCTAACTTTTTTCATACATTAAGTATAGAAAGTTGAGCCTGAATTTTAGGAAACACACTACTGATGAGATCTCTCTCAGATGAGAGTCGTCTAGCCCCAAACTCTATAGATGTGAGAACATAAACTCACGAGTTCACGTGAGAGCTCATGTAAACGTAACGGGAGTTGTCTGCCTTCTCCGGAAAGGCTCAGGCAAAATGAAATGGCTTTGCTCTGCACCTCTGTGCTCAGGGACTCGG